AGACACCTAAATGCCACTTCAGAAGCACTTCTGTGCCACCTTTGCGGTGTAAATTTGTCACTAGCATGTGTAACATGCTTGCTTATGGTATTTTTTTTAATTAGTGGATGCAATAAATTGTTTTAGCTTTGAAATGGCAACTCAAATGAGTAAAATCATTTCCCAAAGAGAGTAAGAGTAAACAATATTTTCATTTTTGATTCAACTTAGTCATAGCTGGAATTCACACATCGGACACAGATGGCGTCAATCCTAATGCCTTCATTCTGTTCATTTGTCAACACTTTACAATTAGCTTGGACTCATACTGAGGGCAAATAAGGAAACAGATGCACTGGATGGAGTAAATTCAACAGGTGAAAAATGTGCTAAATTCCATGAAATAATAAATAATTGTAATAAATCCTTTTTTTCCATTTTTTACACAAAGAAAACGTAACACATCAAATGTTTTTCCCCCATCATAAATATGCATATTTACACTTTATTTGTTATTTCAACAGGATGATACTGTCTGAAGCCTAATCCAGAGTGCAGAAACATTAAATATGGCTCTATCTCTGGATGTCCTCTCAGGATTGATTTTAATCACTGGAGACGTACCAATGTATTTAAAACATGTTTTCCATTTTGCTGTGTGAATTTAATTATGAACGTTATCTGAATGAACTTGGTTGAGGATTATGTAAGTTAAAATATGAAGACTCTTTAAAGGTGCCCCGTTATGTGCAAATTGGTGATAAAATATCAACAATTATGAAGGATCCAAACAAGACCTGTATTCATTTATTATTTTAGCTTGTAAACAAGCATAATAATACAATCTTAATGGAAACAAAATGAAATATGCAGCTCCTAAGCACTGATTTTATGTGAATGAAAAAAATCTTATAAAATCACAATGAAATGGAAGTAGCGACAGAGCTTGTGACGAGCATCTGAGTGTAACAGATTATTGAGAAGAAGAAAAAAACAATGTAAGGTGTGAATTGGTGATTGGGTATAAATGAGTGGAGAAGTCTGGCAGAAGTCACCTTATTTTTACTGCAAGAATGAGTTGACATTTTGATTATGAGGTCCAAAAAAAAAAATCAAAGATACATGGATGATGAAAAAAAAGCTGTATGAGAGAACTTCAAATGGAGGAACATATGTAATGTTTTAATTTCTATGGGAAAAGGTAACTTTGATTGAAAAAAACTATCGCTTTCAAAAAA